GCAATCAATCTTAGCCCTTTTTACAGTGAGCTGCCCTTGAACCCTCACAGCAGCTGGAACTGATACACTGCAGCTGCGGTCGCAAGATCACCGTCTTGGTAAGACACAGAGGAACAAAACGCACTGAAACCAGTTGGGCACCTACCCGTGGCGTACTATTCCCGATTTAAATTAATCAATTTACTAAAATTGTCATTATATTACCTGTTAATTTACCATATATCCCTTAGAATTAGGATTACTGGTCACAACATCCAAGTCAGACTCTAAGTTTTGTCCACATTCACGTTCATTTTCATTTTGGTAGCGTGTCCCCAACTTATTTGTTTTTTAAACATGACGACCTATCGATACTAGTAAGATTCATGACTGCTCTCCTAGCTAATTACGTTTGGTAGTAAAGGACTTCATTTGAAGGCGGGTGCCGCGCGACGGTAAAGCTGAATCTCAATAAATAGACAGGTACCATTCAAAACAGTTTTCAGCTGTTGCTTTTAGTCAACAAATCTAGTCAAAGTGATGCGCCAGCAGTTAGATCATGTATGCATGAAAAAATAGTAACTTGTTTTATACGAGTAGCCTTGCTTACGATGACACTGGTGGTCCCATGCAGTTGAATTCTTTACCGAGTACTGCGCTAGGTATTAGTTTGCAGCCAGCTTCGGTCCTATCAACCTGTTTAGTGCACGATTGTGTCTCTGCTGTAGCTGCCATCCTTCGTCACACACGTTGCTGTTATAGTGGAGGCAGATGGCTACTGATTGGGTGAGCTTTGTGGCTTTAATACTGAATACTTTATGGAAAAGGGTCTCAGCATGCATCGTTGGTCAGAGGCACAATATGGGATGGGGAGGAGGGAGGAAGAGTGGAGAGGAAGATTTATGACAACGGCCTTTCAGTCGTTTTGTTTGTTTTCTCCCTGGGATATTGCAAAGAAAAGAAAACCAACCACCTTTTGTATATTGCTGTCTTTTTTTTATTTCTCTCGAATTATTTAATCGAAAGGTTTACACTTGACCGTCGCAACTGAAAGCTGATCAAAGTAATCATGCTGGACAAAACAGCTATCTGTTCTTTACCTTTGCTAATTTTAAGTTCTTATGGCAAAACGTACTCTTTGATCATAGCAAAATTAATACCAGAGGTAGACATGAATTGCAAACAGCATGCCGCTGCTGCCAGCATGTGTGCCTGTGCGTTTTCCATTGGGTTCTGCAGGATGAGTTTATTTATTGCTCCTGCAACCCATAGTCATTGCATAAGCACAATAAATTAAAATCAATATTTTCATATTTTTATCCCTACGTGGTGTCGATGGTTTGGCATACAAGCCACTATTAGTTACAGTTTGATGCCCCACTTGAAGCCCCATTTTATTCATTACTCTCTAATTCAGCGTAGAGTTTTCGTAATTCTGAAAACACAGCAGCGGCAAAATAATATTTTGAGTGACAGCTTCCAGATTTCACACTTGATTCAGAAAATGCATTCATTGAAGAGATAATGTAGCCACTGAATTGTTTATGTAGCAACATCCCAAGCGTAGTACTGCTGGTGTTCATTATAATGGATTTATTTAGCTCGTGTTATACAATAAACTACAATACTGAATAAATAGTATATAAATCGCAAGCTTACAGAAAATGTGTACTGTTTTCTGAGTAGAAATCTACATGAAGGTATAAGGCACAGTATAATTACAGTTGTTCTGATTTAAATATTCATGAAAGGATTGTGAATACGGGTATGTGTCTAAATATATAGTAATGAGAAATGTTTATATGTGTTCTCATATGCATTATGCATCTGCTGCATGTGTATATGTCTGCATATATTTATATACGTCCATATGTGTATGCACTTTTTTGTTAGTGCTACATGTCGGGACGTCTGTGCGTTCAGTCGAGACATTCAAGTGGGTTTTGGATGGTTATGTGAATAGGAATAAAGTGCAAGGATATGGAGAAATGTAGAACTTGGTAGCAGGTAATGATGTACGTTTGAAGAGTCAGTGTGGGCACGATGGGCCGAATGGAGTTCTGGGCTGTGTATGTGTGTATATACCTAATATGTATAAATAGTTCCATCATTCTATAAGTTGGCGTAAATTCAAATGTATATTTCATGTATTCAAACAGCAGACATCCAGGTTATAAACTATTCAGAATAGATTTAGATAGTAAAATTTGTATTTCTACCCCCCTCCCCATTAATCAAGTCCTTGCTATATTGTCTGCTAGTGTTTCCTCCCGAGCCGAATTTATAAGCAGTAGTTGTTACTGATTATTTGCAATTGCCTTCCATTCTCAGCGCAAGGCAAAGAAGAAGGTCCCAAATACACCTTAGCCAGAGCGGGAAGCAAACTCGTGGTGAACCGCGCGCATCTCACCAACTGAGAGAATCAGTCTCCCAACATTCAAATTAAGTGGAAGAATTTGAAGCCCTGTGATTCTCTCAGTTCTTACAATAATGAGAGCTCTGTTAGCACCTGATACAGTAATGGCTCTTTAATTTCTATGAAGGGTGAAGCCTTTTATCATCCTGAGCTGTTAAGATAAAAGTTTGGATATTCGCGATATTTGCAAACTTAGCCCGCGCAACGGCGTGAAATATTCAGTGGAGGTCGATAATCAAAAAAGGCGACAACTCTGCCAAAAACACCAATCCCAAATCTCTTTCTGTCTGTTGGCATTGGCGCTTTTACAATACGTGTAATTACAGATTACGTCCGACTGGTAGAAAATTAATTTTATTAATTACCATATTATTCTGCAGTTAATTAGAAGATCTGGCAGCTGATAATGCATTAGAAGTGGCAAAAACAATGCGTTGAGCATTGCGTTTTCTAAAATCTACATAGGATTTTCAGTATTATTTTCGATTATTTACTGCATGGATCTCGATTATTCTGATGACGGTTTCCAAAGCAGACAAGTAATTTATGGAGAATCTTTTATTGCAAGTTACCTTAGCATTCAGGAAGGGCACACGTTGTATATAATACGCTTTAGCTGCACATGAATCACTCATATTTCCAAAAAGGCTCTGGTTTCAGGTGGGAGGAAACTCACTTTTTGCTGTTTCTCATATGACAAAGTTAGGCAGTACCTGACTCGAAATGAAAAATAAACCCTTAGCTCTTTATTTTCTACAACATAAGGAAAGCCCTGCAGCAGCGGTCAGGATCAGTCATCCCGAGTCACTTTTGAAGTAAATGTTTAGTGCATTCGAGACAAAACAAAACAATTGTGTCCGATGGAAGTTTATGGTCCGTAAATGTTATCTGCCGTCGGTGTAAAATGAGGAATGGTATCACACACACCCACCCACCCCCGTCCCCAGGCAGCGTGTGTTTGTGTTGTCGCCTCTGTTTTGGATAATGCTTATTTCATGCCCTCAAATGGTGAAATTAGGCTCATTATTGATGTATAATCGGTGCAGTAGGGTGGTGGGGGTGAAGGGACGGCCGAGACCTCCCGCTCTTCCCTCAGCTTCCTTTCAGCTCCTGGGTCCGGGGAAGGCTTGGAGAGGGGGGATGGGGAGCCTCCTCCAGCTCACACCCAGCGCCCCCGTCCGCCCGCGCGCCCGCCCATCCCGCGCGCTGCCCAGTGGAGCGCCGGCGCTGACGAGGCGAGCACCCAATCGGACCTGAGCGAGCGAACTTCCGCTTTGTGTGTGTGTGTGTGTGTGTGTGGATGGGCGCGTGCGCGGACGCGCGGCAGGTGCGGAGGGGCACGAGCCGCCAAGCGGGTGCCCGCTGGCCAATGGGGAGCAGCAGGAGCGGGTGGTTGGCTCGTGGGTGGGGGAGGGGGGGGGGGCTGGAATGTCACGCGCCATTGGACAGATGATCTCCACCAAAGTGTCTGCCACTTACGCTCGGGCCCATATGTAACTCTGCACGGCTCCTCTCTCCCTCTCTCTGTTTGCAGCGGAAGCGCAACATCCCCCGTCACTTTCACCGACGATGCCACAGCACTGACAGCACAGAGAGAGAGAGAGCGAGAGAGAGAGAGAGACCGCGCTGCGTCTTCCAGCTGCTGCACCTGCACATATCCCGTCCCAAATAAAGAGCAAAGAAAGAGATCCTTTAAACAAAACACGTTGTTTTTGTTTTCTCTCCCTCTCTGGTGAGTCTCTACTTTTTTTTTGTGTGTTGTTGTTGTTGTTGCTGCTGTTCTCCTTAGCCCCAAACGCTGATTTGCTGTGCTGAGGATTGAAAGCAATGCATATTCATTAAGACGTCTTTATTTATTTATTTTCGGGACAACCCCCCCCCCCCCCCACCCACTACCAAGCGACGCGCAACCTCATTCACAATAAAATATTGGTGAAATGAGTTTGCATCTTTATTCGCTCGCAAACAAAGGTATATGGGGAGGCCGAGTGCAATGCGGAGGAGAGCTTTTTCTTTCATCAGGTAAGGCGTATAAGCATCACTTTCTGTGAAGTATAGCGGCAGGTTTTGGTGAGGAGCTTCGCTGCTGCGCTCAAGCGTTGTTCGTGGACTCTTCAAGTTCAGCAAAAGCCCATTTGTCCTCTTGGCTCGGTTCATATCGTGTTAATGATTTCAATGTTCATGTAGAGTGAAAGGCTGCACTGGGTGACTGCCAATTGATTAGAATCGGTGGTTACTCATTCATTAGTAATATTTTGCAAGTGAAAAGGACGTTATTTGTATTTGAGGCGGAGGGTGCGGGTTATAAAGGGATTGTCTTTGTCTTCAACTTTCTTTTCTTCAGATGTAGATGCGAACACAGCTGATTTATCGGACCACGACCATAGCATATGTTACATGTTCACCGTCTTTATATTGCCTATTTTTATTTTTAAAGCCCTAGATTGAGGGCTGGATCTAAATCTTCGTGGTAGAATCTTGGATTGGCCAGGACATTGTACAATGCCATCGAATTCTATTTGATCCAATCGTCCAACTCAAACCTGGGGCTTTGACAGAAGCCCCGACACTGGAGTGAGTCAGGAAATTGGTGCTGAGCGCATTCAAACCTTGGGATGAATAGCAGCGTCGCAAAACTCCCCTGCTTCCCACCCCGTCCAATTCAGATTTCACAAGCCACATTTGACCGAATCTCTCCCTGTGTAGAACAAGGTAACTGGGATTCATTCTCATCATAAATAACCGTGTCGAGGTAAAATAATTAACTCTGCTTGCTGCTTTTAATTAAAGTCTCAGAGGGAAAGGGTTGTATTATGGTAATGAGATGCGCGGACGAAGAAGACATACGTTCTTTCTTGTAGAAAAGATCTAAAGGTTATCCGACACCAAATCACTGAAAATGACAGGAGCCTCTCAGTCCATTTCACTTGCACTTCCAGACACATTTCTTGTTGAGAAATGGTTTCGTCTGCGTTCAACCAAAATAATAGATCGAACTGGGAAACCAGGCAGGTACCAATGCACTTTGGCAACGTTGAATTGGGCATTTATCGAAACACAACCAATTTTCATAAAATCTGCGCGAACAGTAGTGAACATAGGTGACAGAAACAAACAAGTCTTGCTGGGGTGTCAACATTAGAAATATTTTGGAATTGGAACTTTAGTTCTGTAAAAATGGCTACGGTGCTGAGCAGACTCATCTTCGCTTGTACTGATTTCATGAGACCCAAGTTTGGTACAGGAGTCTCGCAAATGAGACCTGAATTTATAATTAGGACGATCGTTACTGTCGATGTCTTTTCTTCATGCTGAAGCGTTTTGACTTCTGCAGGTCTTTCAGCACCGAGATGACCTTTTTCTTTCCTTTTCTCGCAGAACAAGCCTTCACGATGGAAGATCCAAATGCTCACAAGGGTTTTTGGGAGAGCGATGCCAGCAGAGCTGTCCAGCAATGTCTAACCAACATTTTCACCAGCGTCTATACAACCTGTGACATTCCAGAAAATGCCATCTTTGGACCCTGCGTGCTGAGCCACACATCCCTCTACGACAGCATCGCTTTCATTGCTCTGAAATCAACCGACAAAAGAACCGTGCCCTACATCTTTCGGGTAGGCTCAGTTTTAATTCTCTCCTTTGCTCCCGCCTCCCTCTTTTGGACAATATCCGATTTCCTCTGGCACCAGTATTGCTACTTTTTTTCTCACCTATTGACCTCGCGTTGCACTTTCTCCGTTCTTTTTTTATCTAAGTATTTATCTTCCCCTGCCTGGTTTATTTGCGTATTTCCTTTCCGTACACGTTGCCTCTCCCTCGTTCCCTGGCATCTAGCTGAGTCCTTCCTTGACTCTCCCGCACTAGCACAGAAACGGCGCTGAAAACACACAGCCGACGCCGGGCAACAGCGGGTTATGCCTAGTATGATCGTGACTGTCAAATAGAAAATACAGAGAAAATCCTGCCGAAGGCCCGCCTGTTATGTTGGGCACTAAACCTTCCGTCCTGCGATCGATTTATTGGGGGTTATAATCCCTGGCAATACAGCTGATAGAGGGTTTCCTTCACATTGTGCTCCCCACCACACTCACCGACCCACCATTTAAATAATGTTTTCTCGCAGACATTTAGCGTGCTAAATTGTTTCGCAGTTTAAAGACATGTGTAAGAAATACAAAACAGTAAGCACGATGTACTCTTAAAGTTTACGGATCTTGAAATCTGACCGCGATTTATTGCAGAATGCTTAAAAGTACTGGCTGAAATGTATCAAGTAAATCACCACTTCATTTACTTTCATGATATTCAGCAATAGCGCACATTATCCTGCTAAACAGGACAGCAGACCTTGAGGTTCCTTATTGTTAAATGATTCTGCATAATGCCTGGGAATCTGCAATGAGATCCCAAGTTAATTTATGTGATGTGGAATGTGCGAGAGGCCGTCTGCAGCGAGAGACAGCACACATCAGATCATTGGTAATTGGCCTGTATCCATCACGCATGTGGCTCATATCCTGCTTTTGCATTTTACTGTAGGTGGATACTTCAGCAGCGAACAGCTCCTCCGAGGGCTTAATGTGGCTCAGACTAGTCCAGTCGGCCAGGGATAAAGAAGAACAAAATCTGGAGGCATATGTGAAAAACGGCCAGTTGTTTTATCGATCTCTGAGGCGGATTGACAAAGATGAAGAATTGCTTGTGTGGTATGGGAAAGAACTGTTGGAGCTGCTGCTTCTCAGCAACGTCCGGGCACAGGCCAAAATAAATGGTGAGCTGCGATTTATAATGGCTCATAGTGCAGCTCCTCCCATATACACACTCACATTACGATAGGCAACACAGCCTAGCCATATCAGCGGAGATAACCGCATTATTCCGTAGTCAGTTCGCACTTTTGAGGTACTTATGTACAGATTATGTAGTCTCCTACAGATTTGCCACAAGATTACTAATGCAATAAATAGGTGGATAAATACATTAGTTTCAATTGTTTAAACTGATGAAACAACCTAGTAAGAAGGATGGGTGATGATACATAGATGGATAGACAGATGGGTAAGTGTGTGTGTGTGTGTGTGTGTGTGTGTGTTTTGGAGCTGTGAACAGATTAAAGTAAGGATAGTTAGACTGGGGAATGGATGACCTATTTCATGTGGTTAACTACATAGGCAAGCACAACAGTGAACAGAGTTACACAAGGAGAAATGAAGTGACATAAAAGCAAAATTCTGGGGTCGCTGGAAATCTGAACTAAAGCAAAAAAATCCTGCCAAAAACTCAGCTGGTCTGGCAGCATCTGTGGAGAGACAGAAAGGTTAGGTGACCTTTCATCAAGAATAAAATGATCCGGTTAGCATTAGTGAATTGCCTAAGAAGAAAAGGTCAACGCAATTATTATAATGACAATGAATTATTTATCCTGTAAATGAAATATTTTGAACACTTAATACGTGTGCTTTTAACCTTATGATTTTTAGCCGGATGTTAAATTAGTGAACGCTGGAAGACAGTTGACTTGCAGGAGTGTGCAATCTCATTTGAATATACTTCATTTACACAGGATCTTCGCCTTACACATGCCTGCACTGCAGCCAGCGATTTCAGTGCGAATACCCCTTCCTAGCACATTTGCGATTCCGCTGTCAGAAGAAGCTGGGCTGCATTGCCACGGACGAGAACATCAAGATCAGCGGAGACCGTGAGCATCAAACTGTTGACGGATCAAGTGTTAAGTTCAGCCGATCCGAGCGACTATCGGCCTTTGCCAATGTCGAAAATACTAAAACCATCACGGATTTTCACAATCTCGCCAGAGATATGGAAAATCCGAGAGAGAATGCGAGGAACCGTCGAGAAACTGAAAGCATAAATGAAAATAAAAGAAAGTACGACGAGGCGGAAGAAAAGACTCACAATGTACTCCACACTGCAAAACTGTCCGAGAGAACACTGTCTATCCCAAGAGAAAATCTTTCCTGTCCTTCCCAGCAGTTCAGAGGAGGTTACTTCAACCTGAGAGAAAATGGAAGGCTAATGGCACCATCCAGCCCTGAGGCTGCAGATGCCAGCGGAGCGGCTTCCTTGAAGTGAAACCAACTTCCCTGAATCTTAAACAGATCCCGAAAGACAGTGTTGCCGACATAGACAACAAGAATGGTGCAGGCCCCATCAGCAGCTCTCCCGAGAAGCCGCTGGACATCAAGTCTGTTCTGACTGAAACACAAGTCCCTTCCTGCCTGGACAACATTGCCATGGGCAGTGCGTTTCGGAGCGTCTCCCAGCTTTGTGGCAGCGAGGAAAGGAAGAGTGCATTTTCTCAACCAGCCAGGTCGTTTACCCAGCTCTCTCCACTCTTGGTGTCCCAGAAAGTGATTCCTGGCTTGGAGTGTCATCCTGCGGTCGGTGACTCTGCGAGGCTTTATCCAGCCAATGCTTTAACTGCAAAGCTCCAGAGCGCAGAGGTGAACGGCAATTGTACCATGCAAGGGGGCCTGGCTAAACAAAGCCCTTTCGTCTATGCCACCGCCTTCTGGCCGAAGACTTCGGGGCCCATTCAGCTGCAAGTCCCATCCGCACTGACCCTCCTTCCTCCTTCATTCACATCCTTTTGTTTACCCGCGCAGAACTGGTGTGCCAAATGCAACGCTTCTTTTAGAATGACATCCGATTTAGTGTACCACATGAGATCGCACCACAAAAAGGAGTACGCCATGGAGCCGCTGGTGAAAAGACGAAGGGAGGAAAAGCTTAAATGTCCCATTTGCAATGAATCCTTTAGGGAACGTCACCACCTCTCCCGGCACATGACCTCTCATAACTGAACTGTAAGTGTATGGCAGCTTATCATGTCAACTCGAGACAACTCAAAAACAAACTAAGGGAAGAGGAGATTGTGATGCACACATTATCACTTTACATTGAACATTTTGTACTTCCCACAAAACAGTATACAAATGCGTTTTGTCATAACTTTATTTCAATTTAAATGCGTTTCGCGCTTACGGAAGTTTGGAAGAGCAATATATGGTATTATCATATTTAAGGACAGAATTTTATTTTGGATATAAGAAAAGTGAGAGAATGGATTTCAGTTTATTGACCTCATTGATACATTCCAATGTCATTAAAATAATGAAGGCTGTACCAGCGCGAGCTGCAAACGCGGAAGGCTGGAAAAAGTGCATGTCAGAACGGTAGATACAACACCAAATACAGGCGGGAAAGTACCGAATCTACATTTCTCTTTTGTAAATATTTTCGTTTTAAAAATCAAATGTACTATTTTGTGCCAGTGATAAGAAGTCTCAATAGTTATTGTGTTTCTCACTCTTGGCGAAATTTACGAATCTTGATAGTTTATCTGGTCATTTTGGCTGGCTTCAACAATAAATAGCTTTATTTTTACTTGACCAAATGTATGCGTGTATGTAGTTATTCAAATTAGTCGCTAAATCATCTTGTTTTACCGAAGAAATCGCCATAATTATCTGCAAAGAAATAAAAATGCAATGGGTTAATTGAGTGGCTCTTGCAGGAAGTCGGCACTGGTAAAATGGGTTTCCTATAATATAACAATTTCAGGATTCCATGGTTCCAATCATTTCGGACAGTTTCTGCCCACGGAATCACTAAAATCACTACTCACTCAGGGTTGAAGGTACACGTCACGCTGTGACACTGTCCAGCGTAGCGTTGTGAAATGCATTAGCTTCACATCGGCAATTAGAATAAGGTTACATACACATTGTGGTAAGCGCTGCCTGAACGATAACTACTAAATAAATATCGTTTCAATTCGAGCCCTCAAACAACTTCACAACTGGAGACTGACCCGAGAAATTTAGACTTTACTGTAAGATCAGGAAGATGAACAGCTGTTTAAAAATCCCATTCTCTTTAACAAGCTTGTTACAAGTTTAACTAAGGATTAACGTTGTGTGGTAGATATTAGAGGTCTCGTGTAAACTGGCCTGTGTCAATGTTCAGCGAAGCCCAGAACAAGCCCAGTCAAGAGCTGCCCTCTCAGATCTATAGAGAATGTGATTATTTAAGTAAGCTTCCAATTAATGGGATTAATGTGAAACAGTGATGACGCAAAAGAATGAAGTGAAGCCGAACTTCCTGGTTCAGTCCTCATTGCGTCTACCCAAGGTTGACTGAAAATGTATTATCAGCTCGATACGACTAAAGGTGATAAAATAACGAACTCGCTGAAAATGTGAGGAAGTCCAGTTGACGCCTCTGATGTATGTCAGCCTTTGCCACAATGTGGAAGTAAAATGAAATCAAAGTCATTAACCATATCGTGGCGCATTCACAGTGTTTGAAGGTTTCCTAAAGTAATGACCTTAGTCACTTCCGGAGGCAAACTTATGATCCACCTACCATTGCTAAACCCAACCTCACCATCCTAATGTTTTTAATTATTTGTTTTATTCACTTTTCATTTCTGCCGTCTATTCACTTACAGTCTAGTTTTGTTATCAATTACCCCAGTTGCTTGAGTTTCTAGTTTTTTAAAAAATACTTTGGCGATGGTTGCTTTAGTGGGAGGCTTGTAATTATATATCGTGTAGATCTAACCTGTAAATGCTTGACAAGCTGAAATTAGAATATTAGAAAATGCTACAAATACACAAGACTGTACATCTGTAAAATAAAAACAAGGAAGTTCACTATGGAATAACAAGGTGTAGAGCTGGATGAACACAGCAGGCCAAGCA